CTGGAAGGTCTGTTTTACCAACTGGAACTGGGAGGTCTGATTTATCTGAACTTGTGAACTGTTGTCTCATTCGGGTAAATAAAGGCCTCACTGCACACCTGGACTCCATCCAGGATTTTCCATTTCTCTTTTTGAACCTGAGCTTCCATTGTGGAGGATCTTTGAATTGTCACATTGAGCAAAATGCTGAATCATTTTCAGTTATTAACTCTTATTTTACTCACGGTCTGCTTCCCTCTCCTTCCGGTTGGGTTTTTAATGGAACAGCAGCTGTTGTGATGACATCTTTTCCATTTTCACCGGGAGCAATAGCGAAGAGCAGTTGCTGGTTGAAAGCCTTTTCCAGTAACTTCAGGACACTGTTGCCCTCATTGTTGTCAGGCAGGTAGGAGGACAACCGGCTCTCTGCATACGGCCGGCCAGGGTTTGGATGTTTCTCCTTCAGGGAGCATAAATAAAGTTTAATGTTTAGGTAATCTTCCATTAATCTCAGCATTTACCACCAATCAAGGACAATCTCTACAAATCTGTTCAGTTCACTGAACGTTTTATTAAACTAATCACAGATAATAAAGTAAACCTAAGTATCTCCATATAGTTTTCTCATGTATATTTCTGAGTTTTTTCTCCCAAACATAGTGAGACAAACTGTTATCGCCTTCTTTGCAGAGCATTTCCACAGTGATCCTAGCCCTAAGCGTCCTCCGTCCGGCTTCATACCTGAACTCAATTCACACCTTAGACCGAAACATGACCCCTGACCCTAAAACAGCAATTCCCATCATGGGGTCCAGGCATCGGGCCCCACAAGGAGCAGTTGGTCTCCGCAAGTTAGACTTAAGTGTCTTAAGAAATTTAGTTTGGAACAGCTCTCTGGACAATTTCATCTTTTGTTTTTAAAGTGCAGCCTTGAAAAATAGTAAAAAAAATATAAAAACAGTTCATATAAACATATGCCTGTAAATGTACAGTTCTAACATTTTCATTTATATATTTTATTATGAAAAATATAATAGATATAATAAAATACATACAATAACCCATTTTACAAAACATTCATCAGTGTGATGGCGGTGGGGAAGAAGCTGCTGCAGAACCTGCTGGTCCTGCATTGAATGCTGTGAAGCCTCTTCCCAGAGGGCAGCAGGGAGAACAGTCCATGGTGGGGGGGTGAGGGGTCATTGATGATGTCACAGGGTCGGGACACGCAGCGCTGGGATGAAATGTCTTTAATGGAGGGAAGAGGAGCCCCCATGATCCTCTCTGCTGTTCTCACCTTCTTCCAGTCTGAGGCGCTGCAGCCTCCACACCACACAGTGAGACAGCTGCTCAGAACGCTCTCTATGGTGCTTCTGGAGGAGGTGGGGAGGATGGGGGGGGCAGGTGGGCTCTCCTCATCCTCCGCAGGAAGTCCAAGCACCTGGGTGTTCTTCTCCTCCAGGTGTGCCAGGCTCAGGTGGAGAGCAGCAGAGATGGCGTCCTCAGTGGAGCGGTTCCGTCGGTAGGCGAACTGGAACGGGTGGAATGTTGGCGGCAGACTGGAGACGATGTGTTCTTTAACCAGCCTTTGGAAGCACTTCATCATGATGGGAGTCAGAGCGACAGGGCGCTAATCATTGAGGGAGGCGACCTGAGGCTTCTTTGGGACTGGAATAATGGAGACAGACTGGAAGCATGCTGGCACTATGGATTGGTCCAGCCAGGTGTTAAAGATGTCTGTGAGGACACCAGCCAGCTGATCTGACCACTCCTTATTCACCTGCCCAGGTGTGTTATCAGGCCCTGGGGCCTTCCTTGGAGTGACTCTAATAAGATCACCTGTGTCCAGGTTTAGTGGCTCCTCCCCCTGATGGGGAACAGCTTTCACTGCTGGAGGCTGTTTAGTGCCTCAAACCTTCCAAAGAAGTTGTTCAGTTCATTTAGGAAGTCAGTGTTTGCTGCATGATGTTCTCTTTGATGCTGACGTCCTCAATGCATTTGTTGATGTAAGCTGACACAGTCATGGCATACTCAATATTTCATAATTTTTACATCAATATTTAACAAGTTGTCATATATCATATGCGGCGGGGGGGATCTCTGTTCCCATGCATAGAGATGTCTGTGGCATGCACTGACCTAACATAGACCTACGTAATCCTACAATAACATCATATTTACAGTTGGTTTATTAAAAATGCTTTTCAGTAAAAGTCAACAGCAATAACTCAATAACAAACGATAATTTAATTAAAAATGCATTTATTAAAAATGCTTAACAATTCCTGTACTGAATGAAAAGTACAATGAAAGAAATAATGTCTCATCTAAACATCCCTCACTTAACAATAAAAGTTAACAATAACTCTCAACTCCCAATAACAGATGATACTCAGCCTCAGCATTCAACGGAATAATGTCTGTTCTGTAGGTTATTGGAAAAAATAAATTAACAAATGAGCTAATTAACAAAAAATACCTCTTGTGTAACAAAAATAACTCAAAATGTACCAAAAACGAACAAACATATCAATAGACTATCTTTACTTTCAGAGTCCAGGTGGCTTTTCAGATTCCTTTCACCTCCATTGGACACCGAGACATATGTTCCTGCTTTGCACACTGTGCACAAGTCCTCCCGTTTGTCTCAACCCGGTCTGGAAGCGGGAAACTCTTTTATAAATCGTCGGTAAACATACCGACAGCCACACTATCTATATTCTGATTAAGAACAGGGCTGCCCGCACTTACGCGGCTCAGGGATTACGTCACACGCAGCGTGGTGCGCAGGGCCCTAGTGCCTGTAAATTTAATGGTCCAATGAAGGTAATTTAAAAAATCAGGACATTTCCTCACTTTCTAAAAAAAACCCGGGACGCCCGGGACAGGACGTGAAATACGGACGTTTGGTCACCCTAGGTTTAGCCCTGATCAGCTGGGGCTTATATGCAGGGATAAGCATGACAGATAGATGATCTTTAGACCCGAGGTGGGGCGGGGGGGCTGCTCTGAATGCATCTCTGATGTCAGAGTAAACCAGGTCTAAAGTGTTTTCACCCCGAGTTGCAAAGTCCACATGTTGGTGGAGATGAGGGAGAACAGTCTTCCAGTTAGCCAGGTTAAAATCCCCAGCAGATAGCCTGGTATAGAGTCTTCATGGCCTCTTTAGTGTTAGCACTGGGGGGGGGGGTGGCACATAAACAGCAGTGATGCTAACCACACTGAACTCTCTGGGCAGATAGAACGGTCTGCAGTTAACAGTTAATGTCTGGAGAGCAGAAGCTGGAGACTGATCTAGCAGTTTTATACCAGCTGTTGATGATGTAAACACAGAGCCCACCCCCCTGACTCTTACCACTTAGTTCTTTGTTCCTATTGGCTCAGTATAGCATTAGCCCCTCCAGGCTAATAGCATTGTCTTGTATTGCAGGATGCAGCCATGACTCGGTCAGAATGATGGAGCAGCAGTTACTGATCTCCTTCCTTGATGAGAGTTCCAGTCAGAGATTATCCGTTTTGTTTTCCAGTGAGCGGATGCTGGAGAGCAGGATTGATGGAAGCGAAGGTCTGTGGGGATTTCTCCTTAGCTTCACAGTTAGCCCCCCTCTGCATCCTCGCTTTCTGCATCTCAAACATCTCTTCCTCCTACCGTTACGTTTCGCTGTTTTGTTTACATCCGTCCGTAGAAC